CGTTCTATAATTCAAATTAAAACATCATCTTTGTTTGTTTGATACTAGTTCTGTTTTTCTTCGATGATGAATCGGTTTTCTTCGGCACTGTGAGCATTCGTCATGGGTTGATTAAGTCTAGTGCCGTTCTCTTATTTCCGGTTGTTTCTTGGGAGCGTATGAGACGTTCAGTGTATGACTACATCGCACATCGAGTCTCCATATCGAGCACTCGACTGTACCCCTCTATAGCTCACGGGCACAAGCTTGTTTCTTATCAATGATACTACAGTCGATTATAATGGGGATTTATTCCCCAGAAATGAATGGCATTGATAACACAACGACAGGGGTTGGAACCCATACTGCAACCGGTTGACCCTTTTTATAGAGTTTTAGGTGCATATGACCCATACTACGACCGGTTGAACCTTTTTATAGAGTTTGGGTGTATATGACCCATACTACGACCGGTTGACCCTTTTTATAGAATTCGGGTGCGTATGACCCATATTACGACCGGTTGACCCTTTTTATAGAATTCGGATGCATATGACCCATCCATGTCCCTGGGTGGACCAGTGCGCCTTAGACGAATGTGCTGTTGTTGGTTGTCTTTGTACAAGTTGTCTCCTCTCACACACAATATCTGCATCACGTTGGGATGAAGATCAGCGACGCCAACCTGAAACGCGCGGGACTGGACTACTGGGAGCACCTCTCCTGGGAACTACAACCAGACAAGGTACCTGCTAACTGTTTGTCTTTTCTTCCCCATTACTTCTGTGATAAGTATATTGAACGTAACGCTTAATGTTCGGCTCCCTCAGTGCCTAGGCACACACGGGCGCGTACGTACTTGTAGCGATTTGTGGTGGTGGGGGTGGCCCCATGCCTGTATCGAGTGGGTTTAGTTCGGTACAAGCGTGTGTACCGAGTGGGTGTGGTTTAGTACAAACGTGTGCACTGCTACACTATGCGCGAGTGTATCCGCTTGTTCTGGTTGGCCGCGTTAAGTCGCACATGGTCCTAGGGTATGTCTTCGTGTAAGGTGCAGACCGCGTTGACTTCAAATGAAATATGGGACGAGTGTTCGTGCTTCCTGTTGGTTAACGTTTTGTTGTGACGTATGGAACTTTTATAGAAGATGCTACAGGGTTTACGGTCTTAGCTTCTGCGTGGGAGACGACGTACACGTGTCGTCATCAGAATATGTGTATGTTTAATATTATGTATGTTTAAGATGTGTACATGTATCAGAATAGACATGTGTGCATATCGACATTCATCGTTCGCCCCCCTATAAACATATTCCACTCTCAGATAAAGTCTCCGGTTTGCCTTACACGAATATATAAGTATACTTATTTTAGTGCAATACACTCGCATTGGATACTGGTAGCAAATACAACCACTCACCAGATGTCCTCTTTCATACAACAACAGGAAGCCTTCTTCAAGTCTTTGGACCCTGGGCGCGTGCACATATTGACTTCCAAGACAGACACTCCGTACACTCACATGAAGCCGATCACCGGCGACTATCTCTTTTTTGGAAGCGAGGTAGGCCCATTCGCCCATATCAGTCATTAGCGAATATGCATTATATCTTCGCTTATGCAGTGCTACTGTTGTGTGCTATCTTTGGGCGCGTTCTTGTGGATGGGGGTATAGTATATGTTGTATATGATAACTATGAATTATATCGATATGGCAACGATGTGCACATGACTCGTGCACGTGTGTTACGTTGTCTGTGATTTTGGCTGACTGAGTGCACAGCTTTCTTTAGGGGAATTTGTAATATGAATATAGAATTTTTTGTATGTATAAATTTTCTCACTTTATGTTTCTCTAGGGGAGTATATCACATGCATATACTATCTTGCATAGTGTATTTAACGCAATCAAGTGCATGTCCATATACATACGTCTATAAAATCAATATTATGTGCATAAAGCTATATGACCTACTTCATCCTCACATGCATATATACAAACACTGGAGATCCTATACGACTACCCACCTTGTGCAAGCTATGGTACATATCATCGAGAGATAAAGACCATACGACATACGATTGAGTATGAGAAAACATTCTTTGCGCACAACCAGTTCAGAGCCAAAGCACTTCTCATATGCCTCGGTATAGGCTACGCGTCAATTGAATCCGGTAGAAGTCTTTTCTAAACCCATCTTGTGTCCGATTCCTGTCAACTTGTCCTCGTATTGATCGTATAATATAATACATGTATCATATAATATGTTACATGCATCATATAATATAAGACATGTTTTGCATACTATAAAACATTTATCATATATTTTAATACATGTATCATACATGTATTATATTATAATGCATTTATCATATAGTATAATACATTCAATATTTAATATAATATTCGCATCTCTACAGGTGACGGGAGTGCCGGCGCATTGGAGGGAAACGCACCCCGATCGATGCTTTACGTTGGTATGTGCTGTGTAAATCAGTGTCTGGTTCTGAACTAGTGTTTCAATTAATGTGCCTTTATAAACGCCTAGTTCCTATAATTTAATGGGCAATTATACTTGATAAGTGGTGATTTGTCGGCGTTTACGTCATGTTCCTATTTATTTGCCCGATACCAATTAGGGTTTTAGGGTGTATGGGTTTTCTAAGACCCTAAAATTGGTAGACTGCTATGTCATTGCGACGTATCGGAATCACAAACCTTCACACCCCTTCACAACGCCTTCGCTCACAATCTTCTCTGCCGTTGTTCATTTCACCTTGATAGCGGACCATGATATTCCTGGAAGTTTACATACTTCTGTTGGTATTTTCGATCGTATCCTGGTCGCATCTTCTCTTGATACTGTGCAACATTGCTCTCTAGCTGTGGCGTCCTTCGCATACACCCCCGTAGTGTCGGAGTCCAATGGCTCTCTCTATACTACTGTGTTTGCCTATACATCCAATTTAATAGGTGTATCTCACAACCAACCCCTCTTGTTCAACTGTTTAAACCAGCAATTCATGCCTGAGTCCCAAGTCAGTGATCCAATCCATCATGTATTGCTGTCATTCTGTATGTATTATTTTCCACTCAATATCCTCCGCTAGTTTCTCACTCCCATACTTCAGGCTTTCACCTCAAACACACTTAGTTAAGCCTTTAGCTGCGGCCTTGGTTACGGCCTTAGTTATGGCCTTAGCTACGACTTACCTTGACATTTCCATACTTGAGTCTCGCATCCATGCTCGTTTAATTGACGATGATATCTAGGATTTCATGCCTGGAATTCCCGCTATCCTACCAATGATATAGCCTTATGTATTCAGCCAATGATATAACCATATATCCATTTCAGCCAATGATATAGACATATATCCATTTCAGCCAATGATATAGCATTATATTCATCTCAGATTGGGCCTGTTTACCTCATCGCGAACACAATCGCATATCTACTTATAGTATATAAGCTACTACTGCGCTAAATGGCGTTTCGTCACACCAATAATCCTGTCCAAGTTTCTCACACCCTGCGCCCAGTGTCTGTATGCGTTTAAAACCCAATGAACATCACACCCACACTCATACGCAATTCACACATACTATCAGCTGTATATCTATAACACTCACACACGCCGTGTCCTTGCTATGTTTTCCGTATATATAAACGTACGCGTGTCTAGACATTGTAGTAGCACTCCCTCTCATGCTCTTTGCACTGTTGTCGATGTTGACATTCTCTCAGCCGATGTTCTCGGACCACGTGCGATGCCTAAACCTGGCCAACACCGTGGCCGTGTCCGTATACGACGGATTGCGCCAATTAGAAGCCTTCTAATATGTGAGACAAAGGGTCGAACTTATCCTCTAGCCCACACCGTCCTAGCGGTGTACGATGGTTTATGCTCTGAGTTAGAAGCATTGTACTGTGTGAGGGTTAGAGTGGCCTTGAAGATCTACACCACACTGTAGCCCTAGCAGTGTACGACGGGTCGCCCTAATTCGTCGCCTTTTAATATGCGGGACAGATAGTGGCCTTAAACCGGGCCAGCACCGTACGTCTAACGGTGCATGGCGTTTTACGCCAGTATTATACGTTCAACGCTGTGGGGAAGAGTGTCTTGGGGTGCGTCACGATAAGTGAGAGTTCAGATGCTTGGTATGACGAACAGCTCAGGGTTTAGGTTTTCAACTATCAGACCACGTGGGGCATAGGCGATAATTACTACGGATACACTGACACGGTGCAATACGCGCTCTTGCTATTTAGCACCAACGAGCATATTGTTCTGGAAACAAGCCAATGAAGCTCGACCAAGAGAGACTGTAGAATCGACATAGACCCTTCAACCCTCCCTACGTCAGCGAGCGCACAGGTACAGCCGCCAGTGGCGGGTTACTTTGATCAACAAATGGGGCTATGACCTCGCTTCACTACGCAGGCGTCAAACAACACTGATTTTGTGAGAGTGAGGCCTTACTGTTCTATTTATAGATATGTCGGGTCGCCTTCAGATATGTCACATCAAATTATCTTTTATTTTCGATAACAAAATTTGATAATGCATACGGAGCGAGACGCTTAGGCGCAGTAGCACATGAAGTCATTCCAATGTCACGCGAGGAGCCTGTCCTGCCGCATGTGCTTTCCAAGGTTTCTTACGCGTGTACACACGTGCACTCAAATCAGGTGCACATAAAGTGGTGCGTATGTATGTATATGACTATACATATATGAGTATACTAAAGCAGAGTTTTATGGTAGGTATATATAGTAAGGTTGCATGGTAGGTATATATAGTACGACTGAATGGTACGTATATACAGTTGGGTTGTATGGTAGATTCTATATAGTAGGGTATCATGATACGTATATTCAGCCATGGGTAAGCCTGTGTTGAGTATGTGCAGTACCACACATGCCTACGTATAAAAACACAGGAGACATACGTATTTTATTCACCGTTAACTTGTCATTTGTAGCATGTCATGTACGATGGGAAGTCACTCTGCTTATTAAGTGTACTTGTATACAGATAGATGCAGATAAATATTTTCATATACAAATATAAACTCACATAATAAAGAAGTTAATAATTTACGTATAGTACATTATATATATATGTGTGTGCGGGTGGGTGGGTGTAGGTGTGGGTGAGTGTACATATATCTATATCTATGTATATATATATATATATATATATATATATATACATATACTATATACATATACTATATATATATATATATATATATATATATATATATATATATAATAACTATATATATATTATATATATATAGTATT